GAAACGGAGCTTCTCGCGGATTCAAATCAGTACGTGATTAATATATTTCATATCACCTTGAGACACTGGAAAAAACGCGACCTACATCAGTTCATTGCAACTTATTCCCTTCAAATGAATTCGATGTGTCAGAAAAAAACAATATGCAATGCATTAGAAGATGCAATTTATTTGAGTTTTATTGTGATAAATTTCAAAAAGTGGGGCCCTTTTGCTTAAATTAGCTAATACACATAAAACTCCAGTGCAGTTGCAATAATATTACCATGACATTATAATTAATCGCAATAAGTGCTACTTTTGTAGCAGTGGCGTGGCGTGAATTGCGATATATCGATTGTTATGCCATTTAAACCTATGGTAAAGAATCGATTATTAAGGTGTTCGCTGCGAACACCCTGTCTATCGATCCTTTTCCATAGGTTTAAATGGCATAACAATCGATATATCGCAAAGCACGCCACGCCACTGTTGGGTAGGGGTTCGCGGGGTTCGACAAGCGGATTCTAAATACCATACAAAAATCACGGTCATCGTGCTTTAATAATCTCTTAAGACAGCCAGTTCACCTGCATTAAAAAAATAGGCCTGGCCTGAACGTTAAAAATCTAGCCTGACAAAATGTACATTTTTATGGCGAGTCAAAAAAAGGAAAAATCTTTGTTCGCCGCAGTACGGAGCTAGTGCATAATTTGAAGTTAGCAGTGTATAAACGTGGTCTTGAGGAAATAGAAATCCTAATTTTTTTCCCGCAATGATAGGAACTTTAAATTATTTCATAGTTGACATTCTGTATTTTTCTGCTCTTCCAGCTGGAACTTTGAGCTTCCGTCGAACTGACAACGACGCGCTGCGCCGTCAATCCCACGCACAGTGGAGCGAGTTAATTGGAGAGGTCGGACATCATGAAGAGACTTTAAAACGCTACACTTCAGCTCATATCTTAGTTAATACGATACCTACGCAGAAGTTTGAAAGTGGCTCCACCGGTTTTCCCATAAAATTTTCTGGGAGAAACATCCCTTAATACTTAAAATATGATGAAAAAACATCTAAATCGGCGGTTTCAGCCGTAACTTTCACGCCTGACCTCTCCTAAAGGCTAATTCCACTGTGCGACAATGCCACCGAGGTCATACCGACCGAAGTCAAAGAAGGCTCACCGCGCCGCCGGGCACTTACGCTTACGCACTTCTGACCCGCCTCCGACCCCCCCCCCCCCCCCCCCCNGGGGTGCTCCCACCATCGCCGTTGAATTTTTACTCCTTTTCCCTCTGTTTTGTCTTTTAATCAATCTTGAATGCCAAGATTTTTTGTTTGAAGTAATCTCAAATTAGTCATCAGTAAAGCATATTGAGAAACCGAGAAAAGAACATAATATAGTTTGATATGGTCAGCGCAGGTGATATCAGATGATTATGGTCGTTACTTACATGTATTTTTTGATTTCCCATCTTTGTTCGTTAACATTAATTTGTATCCTCTTTTAATTTTTTCATGTTTTATTTCTTCTTAATTTTATGGTTAGAATATGTTCGGACCACCTACTCTCCTTGTATTTTCCTCTTCAATTTTCAACTTTATTTATTTGTTTCACATATGGACTACATTTTGCAATTCGGAACTATACATTCTAGCCCGGTTTAAAAACGACGTATGTGCCATTAGTTTCCCTATGCATATAAGAGTTTT